ATGAATGTCTACGATGACGGGGTCTACATGAAATGTGGTGCTTCAATCGACAGGTAAACTCGAGTTCAGAAAACGCCTTTATTAACAACGATAAGTGATAAACTCTTTAACATAGAACCAACAACAGGTAGACATACACAAAAAGCAACCCGATTAAAGAGACATTAAAGAGACCCAGTAAACAAAATTTGAGATTTCAACATAACGTTAAACGTTTGAAAGAAAACCATGAACCAAAATAACGTTTAACCCATTCGCGACCAGGTGGGTTGTCTCGAAATCGGCGAAATTTGAAGACTTGTACAATCAGGGTACAGCATGCTTGTGTGAAACACATGGGGGGTCGTACTTTCTGCTTTGGAGAGGGGGGTCGTATTTGGGGTAAGACAAATTTATGTTGATAGTTGATTCCCCCCCCCCCCCGCTCGACAACTTTTTTGCTGACTATATACTCATCGCTCGGCGACTCGGCGAAGAAGCCGTCGAAAGGGGGGGGGGGTCGTACCCCACGCGGAAAAAAAAGGGGGGGGGTCGTGGCCTGGACCCCTACTCGAAGGGGGGTCGTACTCACACCGACATTTCGCCTATCCCCACGCTGTACCCTGTGTAAAATTTACAAAAGTTCTTCGAAGAGCTGGAACTGTTTCTAAAAATTTCATCAAAAACCCGTCCACTGCATATGGTGGACGGTCCGAAGTGGACATGTCACGAATGGGTGAAATAGTGCCGATTCACATATAGTCATCACATGAATTACCAAAAACTCGTGATTTACTCGTATACGCCGTTCCCGTGTTTCTGGGTTCCAGGAAAAAACGCTACGATGAATAGCTTGAAATCAGGACTCACTGACAACTAGCCTTTTTATGGGAATTCCTGGGACATAAAGTGTAATCAACTCGAGAAGCAAAGAAGCGTCAGGTAGAAACATGAAATACACAAAAATTTGATCGCAGACACTGTTGATGGGATGGCAGGGGCAGAATCAAAACAAATGCACATGAGGGGCTCACGGCCAAAGAAACCCGAAAGTCGGACGCATACCACGTGAACTCGTCAAGCACACGTTCATGCACACGCATGATAAATTCATATCCATATTCACATCAAAAGCAAACAATCAGGTTGAATGACCAAGGCCTTCATGATTTGGCATTTGAAGACACACGGGCTGAAAAAATGCAGTAAAAATGATTTAAGAAATCCTAGTTAATTTGATGAATTCATTAGAGAGAAAACGTAACCCTATTATCAGGAGAGAAACAGAGGACCAAAGATAAAAACTCACCTTTTTTCAATAGCAGTGCGTAAGATTCGTCAATGTTGTGGTAGTAGAAGTCGCCGATTCTGTAAGCAACAGATAAATCATTAAGTAATCCTAAGAAAAATTCAGTGTTTTATATGGATCTGCGACAAGCTCTCGAGGCACTGGACTCTATTGGTGGATTGAGCGCCGGCCTATGAAGCAACCCAGAGCGAGGGACGATGGCCATACGTTCGAGCCGAGCAGTTCCATTTCTGGAATCACGGCTGCGAACGTTCGACGAGTAATCGCAGTGTGCAACACTCGGAATTTCACGCATATGCCCGAGTGACGCCTCTGGAGTTTGGCAGGCTATACGAACGTCTGGCCAGCTCTCTACTCCACCGGGGATCTCATTTGTCGCCCATATGCGGCCGACAGAGGCTATTTATATTTTTGAGGTGATGGTTATCTTCAAACGTTCATCTCCAGAGCTTTATCAATGACAGAAGCTAAGGTTTGTGGGACACGGCTATTCATTCGGCGCTCTTGCCGAAGAAGTCCATTGCGGAAAGTCGACAGTCACAGATTGTCTACGAGGTGGCACACGCGATAAAGAATGGTTAGGGAACCAATAAAACTATATCTCGCCCAAAACACCTAATTTTATTCAGTTCTTTTCGCGGAAGAATTCCCGCCGTTTACGAGGGAAGACCTGGAAGAGGTAGCCGTGAAAACGCAACAGCGGTACGACTACCCGCGTGCCGTTGGATTTATGGACGGCAAGCACATCAGTATCAAGGTTTGGAAAGGTTATGGACAAAGAAATTCCGATCTAAGTGTCACTTCTTACAGCAGCCGGCCCACAGCGGCAGCTTGTATTTTAACTACAAAAGGAGTTACTCCATCATCCTGCTCGCCCTGGTGGATTGCGATTACCGCATTCTGGCCTTCGACTTGGGGGCACCAGGGCGGGTGGGGGATGCAGGAGTGTTCATGAACTCCAATTTAAAGGTACGTTTTTGGAGGTGGCGTGGGTGGCTCATCTAAAAGTATGTTTTCCAGCGTTTCTTCGACAGAAGAGACGACATTTTTCCCCCGACGCGAGAGTTGGGGACGGTGGGCCCAGTGCAGTACCACATCCTTGTGGACTGCGGCTTCGGGCAAGGATACCGCTATGTGCGGCCCTACTCGCAGGCGACTGCCAACACAGCGAGTAAGAGGAGATTCAACGCCAAGCATAGCGGGTAAGAGGCAGTAGGAGTTTCATTTTACAGCTACTAAACTGAGTGCCATTTAGTGCGCGAAGGATGGTAGAGTCAACTTTTGGCATTTTATGCCAACGGTTCGCCGTCCTTCGGAACACCATGCAAATGGAGCCGGAGAATGCGCGAAGGGTGTGACGGCAATGCTGGTAAGGTGTATCAAAACTTGGCAACTGGTCTTCATCTGTATAATATTGAACATTCTCAGGTGCTGCACAACGTCTTGACCAGAAGACAAGACTACTAGAAGTGGTACTAGAAGTGGTGGAGCGTTTTCCAGTTCCTGCACGCCAGCTTGACGCCCTCCAAGAAATCGATATGGGCAGCGGCTCAGAAGCGGGGGCGAGGGCCAGGGAACTCATTAGGGTTCACTATGATAACACCTATGGCCCTCCTCTCTGACAACCAGGAGCTGCTCCCGTAAGGTAGGCCATCAAAAGCGTTTGTCACAGAGAGATCTCACTGAGTTTCGAACGAAAGTTTTCAAATTCCAACCTCCGAAAGTTTCTGTGTCAGATATTTCCACGACCGCCGCATTATTATTGAAAATTATCATCGAAATAAGGTGCATCTTTTGATCTGCTAAAGATGGCTCCATTTCTTCTAACTTTTTCACGATGAAGCTGCCTTAAATTTCCTACTAATATGTATAATCGGCGATGTCCGTGTGTGTGTGTGTGTGTGCGTCTGTCTGTGTGTCACGAAATTCATAGCACCTGAAGAAGAGCCTGGCGGGGTCGGGTCAGGGTGGGGATGGATAGTGCATGGGACAAAACCTAAATAGCACCCATGACCCATGGTAAGCCCCGCCCACAGTGGGCGGGGCGTGCGTCCAAAGTTAGCGATGTCACTGAAAAAGGTCATAACTCGATTCCAGAGCAGTCCCGTGATGAGGAAACAGTGCAGTGAAGTTAACAAAGGCCTGACCGACCAAACATAGGAGACACACCCGAAATGGCGGGGCGTTCTTGAGATGGGCGGTGCTTCCCGTGTCACTGAAAAAAGCTATAACTCGGCTAAAAGGCAACCCGGAGATGGGAAAAAGTAGAATAAGGCTAGCATTGGGTTGGCGGAGCAAATGGAGGAAACACACCCGAAATGGGCGGGGCGTGCTTGAGATGGGCGGCGCTTTCCATAAAGATAGGTAACTCGGGGTTCCCGAAATGTTTAGACAGGCCGCGCAGAAAGCCCCGCCCACTGAAGGCGGGGCGTGCGTCCAAAGTTAGCGATTTCACTTAAAAAAGTCATAACTCGGTTACAGAGCAGCCCCGAGATGAGGAAACAGTGCAGTAAGGTTAACAAGGCCTGACTGACCAAATGGAGGAGAGACTCCCGAAATGGGCGGGGCGTACTTGAGATGGGCGGGGCTTTCCATGGCACTGAAAAATTACCATGACTTGGCTACGAAGCAGCTCGGAGACTGGAAAAAGTTAGTTAGTTAGCACTGGGATGTGCCCTATCAAAGGAGTAGAGAGAGACCGAAATGGGCCGGCGGGGCGTACTTGTGAGATGGGCGGTGCTTCCCACAAAGGTCAATAACTCGGTCCCCAAAAATGTTTAGGGAGCGCAGAAAAGTCCATGACGAAGACTAACGTCTGGCAAGAGTCCACCATGTTTACGGCGTGCTGAGGCCGCCTACAGTGGGCGGGGCGTGCATTTGAGCACGAGGAACAGTATAAAAAGTCGTAGTTCGGTCCTAAAGCACTGCAGATGGTGCCCAAAAAAGTTTTGGTCCCCAAGCGATCAAATGTAAAAATTTGCTATTCACTCCCATCGTGGGCGGAGCCTGCACCGAGGTGGGCGGGGCCAAAATCGGAAAGAATTCACAAAACGCTTCCAGAGCACTCCAGACACCGGGTAAAAGTGGTTTCAGGGCATTGGAGGATATTAGTTGAGAATTCGCGCTCATACATTGTGGGCGGGGCGTGCCTAGAAGTGGGTGGAGCCAAATTTAAAAAATTCACAAAACGGTTCCAGAGCACTCCAGACACCGGGGAAAAGTGGTTTCAGGGCATTGGAGGATATTAGTTGAGAATCGCGCTCATACATTGTGGGCGGGGCGTGCCTAGAAGTGGGTGGAGCACAATTCAAAAATTCACAAAACGGTCCCAGAGCACTTCAGACACCGGGGAAAAGCAGCTTGAGATCAGCGAGGGGTTATTAGTCGAGAAGCGCGAGCCATACGTTGTGGGCGGAGCGTGCCCCGAAGTGAGTGAAGCCAAATTTTAAAAATTTGCAGAACGGTTCCAGAGCACCCCGGACACCGGAAAACAGTAGTCTGAGATCAGAGAGGGGTCATCGATTCACAAATGTGAGGCACAGCTGCTGGGGCGGAGGTGCGGCAAGGTGGGTGGGGTTATATTGAAAAATTCCTGAAATGCTCTCAGAACTCTCCGAACGCCGAGAAAAAGTAGCCCGCCAGAAGGAAAACGGAGGTAAAATAGAAGAAGCCTAAGGGAAGGAGAGGGGCACGCTTTATTTTCAATCCGATGTCATTTGCATTCAATCACTCGCCACTCTGAGTCGACCGATAGAACATCCGGATTTCTGGAAAAACATTTTGCCGATTTCCGCAAATTAGTGCTATAGCCTATAGTTAGTTCGTGGCTTGCGACTGTGAAGAAATGCTGTAATGCATAAATGGGTAAATGCGGGATCTGTGAAATGATGAAAAGCATCCAATGCACATCGATTCAAAGAAATGCGGAAATGATGAGCTGCGTGAACTCAGTACGTAAGACAGCCTTCAGAGTTCGCGACGGCAGCGAGTGTGAACGCTGCCCATCTCATCCTCTTCGTCATTTCTACAGACTCCGCATTACTGCAAACTCCGCATATCTGCGTTTCTCCCAATCCATACGTATCTAATCACCTCTCCCTTCCTGCCAATTCCGCAATTCTTTTCACCGTTTGGGCTGCGAAAAATCGATGAGTATGGCAGCGCTCCGACGGCGCATTTGATGCGATCCATGCGCATGCTAATTTCTAATGCATTGATCGTGCCGAACCCGCAACCGAGCGTTGCTCTCGCGAAGTCTGACTACGGCTCATCTAATCCTTTTCGTCGTTTCTGCAGACTCCGCATTACTGTAGATTCCCACATATGCGTTTTTCCCAATGCATTATTTAATGACCTTTGCCTTTTCTGCCAACTCAGCATTTTCGCATTTCTTTTCACTATTTCGGCAGATTCCGCATTTCTTCGTTCCTGCCATGCGAAAATGGCAAATTGCGAAGAATCGTTGTGTATGGCAGCGCTCAGGCTTCCCGACGGTAACGCTTCGGTCGCGCGTTTGATGAGTATGCTTTTACTGCATTGATCGCGTCGAAGGCGCGACCGGAGCGCTGCTCTCGCGAAGTCTGACCACGGCTCATTTAATCCTTTTCGTCATTTCTGTAGATTCCGCATTACTGCGAACTCCGCATATCTGCGTCTACCAATCGATACGTACCGCATTTTCGTATTTTCATCATTTTCGCAGACCCCGCATTTCTTCTTTTCCACATTTTTTCTACGAGGAAAGGTACGCGCGGCGAAGCCGCGCCCGCCCGGCGCAGCCGGGCCGTATCAGAAGGAGCCGCGCCGGCGTCAGCTGCTCGAGCGAACATTGGGTTAAAGCATATGTAACTTGCAAACTTGCACTTCTTTTGCACCAGCCTATTGAATAATGGCAATACCCACCGAAGTACCAGTACTTGTTATCCCGAAATTCAATTCTGTCATCTGATTTTTCCTTGCTGGGGGCTTCCCTTTTCTCCACCTGCGCTTTTACGGCCGCAGCTGCTTCCTTGATCATACATAGCGCTTCTGGAACAAATTGGATTTGGAAGGCTTCCACTCAGTTCACTCTCTTTTGTTCCCTTTTCAAGGCCTTACCATCCTGCTTCGATTTTTTTGATTTCTCTTCTTTTGGTCCCAATTTTAGACGTTCTTCTTCCACCTCCTTTTCAAGCGGTAGTTGCTCCGTTAAACAGAAATTGCCATTTATGTCGATATTGGATATCGTGCTCCTGGAACAACAGTTCAGTTGGACGTAGCAGAAACCGTATTCTGCTGACATACCCATCGTAGTCATTTCGGTCCAAAAATGTCAGTAGTTCTTCCTACTTACACTTTTTTAGGGCTGGTGATCCTGTTGACGCCTCCAGTCTTTTCCTTTTTCGCCGAGCATCCTTAATGCTCTTCCATGCCCCTTGTATCTCTGACACTGCAATTGATGAGATGAGTAATGCGACTTCGCAGTGGAGAATATTCGTAGAAGGACTTCAACCTACTAGAAACATTGAAGCTCTCATTCTGCAGTTTCCGGAGTATTCTTTCCCATGCCGCAGTTTTCTTTCCCAATAAATGGTATTCGTCGCAGTTGATATCCTAAATACTTGTTTCGGTTTCTATCATCTTACCCTGATTTAAACCCATCTTACCCCGAAACCCGATTTAAGGAATAAGACTTCAAATTGTTGGCTGTTGCTTTCTTCATGAGCCATTCGCGCGTATATCGTGTGCTCTCTTTTCGATACCATTGCTAACAATCTTGCCCTATACTGCCTCATTTTGTTTTTTTTTGTATGAGTACTAATGACTGACACATACCAAAGCACGAACAAATTTACATATATGAAAGGAAACATTCGCAGAAAAAAGCCCGCAAAAACATCATCTATCTGCCAAAAAACACTGCGAACTATTGCAGAACGAATGCATCACAACAAAATCAGACCAGAATTGCTAAAGAAACTAAAAGAAGAGCTATAATGAAGGAAATGAAGTGAATAACATCGAAGAACAAAAAAAGTGTAATTTCTGACCACGGAAACCTAGCAACGTGTAAAGACACCAAAGGAAAGAAGAATAATTCAAAAAATTGAAAACGGAAACCGACGGGTAAACTAACCGATGATGATGATGCTACCAAATAAAATTATGATAGATCAAATCCGCAACAACTGCGGGGAGACCGACTTTACAAGGGGGGGCGGGGCCGCGGCTATTGATTGGCGTTCCGAAGGCTCTCCATCAAGAAGCCCCGACGCATACCGCTTCACGCCTGGCCGCCGCCTCGCGAAAGCCCACGGCAATGCCGCGGGAGCCTGGTGTGTATAAACGCAGCCCTTACACCTGTCTGCAGACCTTCCAGTGGCAGGATTGATCAAAAAAATTATCGATACAACACTCGCCACCAACACCACCCCACGCAAATGGGATCGTCATATATGTAGCTGAGAGTGCTGATATTGTGTACTATAATCTCACTTCTGTCACGGTGCAAGTAGGGTTTTGCAGTATCTCTCCCAATTACACTCCTTCCCATTTGGCCACGGTCCTAATTTGTTATTATTTGGTCTTTTTCATAATTCATTGCCTATTTGTACAGTTCTACTCATATATGCTAACTTGAACGCTTTATTCTCCCCTTCCCTTACTGATGAGCACAAAGGGGGTATACTCGTCTGTTTGCTTTCCGTCTAAGGGCACGAGCGAAAAGGAGAGTCAAAACTACACTTTCACAATTCCTCCCCTTCAAAGTGTTTGGTTTCATTGGATTGTTCATAACTCTTTATTATTTCTTCTGTGTTCCTTGATCAAAACCAATTCGTGCAATCAATCTGCTATCCAGTTCTTACACTTGACTTGTCTCAAAAGCACAAATGAGAGAGGGCCTCGATCCCTTAAAAAATTATTGAAGTTTGGTCAGAATTTTTCTCGTGAGTTGACCGATACTCCAAGGGAACCTTTGTGGGTACTGCCTACAACTTCTCTCCCCTTCCGCCACTTGGACTGGTTGGACGTTTTAACTGAATGTGGAGTAGGTGTCTCTGATGGTAAGTGAATCACTCCCGGAAGCGCCAGTAACTAGAGGTCCTTCAGAAAGGGCAGAACCGGTCGCGCAATCCTATCATCTAACAGTGCGGTGAGACTGTGTATGTAGTGAGGTTTCTTCCTCACTCCTTGAACGGAATTTCCTCTTCTTCGGCGACCAGCGAACCATTTTTCAATTGACTGCAGAGAGCGGATGAAAATCCCCACCATTTGGTCCCACAACCGAGCAATGTTTGCCTACTCCACCACAGCTCAGGGTCACACGTTTCGAAAATGACACTGCTCGAGATCCTGAAGCTTAGCTGGGGAATTCCACCACAGTCTTCGTGTAGCCCTGACTTAGCTCTTTCCGATCGCCATCTAAACTAATCCCACAGCGGCCATCTTCTGGGTAAAAAATACGATTTTCGGAAGCATCTAAAAATTTTGCTTAAGCTAAAGCCACCTTTCTCAGCACGGAACCAAAAAGCTTCTGGAAGCAAGGCAACCACTCTTTGCGTGGTGATTGGCAACAAGTTGCCGATGAAGGTAACATATATATTGTTGATCAAAATTGCTTCTCACTGGAATAAACTTAACTCGAAAAAAAAGTTCGAAATGGCCAAAAAAGTCACTTTCCTTCATTGACTTTCGAGGCGCTATAAGTTACACTTTATTGAATTCTGATCGGACATTTTTACCACCATATTTAAAGAGCATATTAAATACTATCATGACACTCCCACAGCCTTCTGGACGAGCGCCATCGAGAGATTCTGGCACGCGACCGCGATGTGGTGCCTGAGATCAGCGAGATAGTCGATTTCTCCGCCACCGTAGACCACCCTATTGAACTCCGCCCGAACCGGGTAATTGAGGGGATTCAGGTCAGGTGACCTACTTGGATATTCCATCTTCTTTAGGTACTCAGCCCCCTTCCATTCCAAGTAGGCGAGAGTTTCTCCAACGCCCTTCGATTTCATGTGGTGGCACTCAATGCTGTAGCAGTACAAAGTTTCCAAGAAGGTACGGGCGACCACATGTGAGGAGGATATTCTTCACGAGTTGCCCAATGTAACCGCCAGCGCTCACCTTCAGTCCGGGGTCCACGAAGAAAATATCGGTCTTTCCATTCCAGGTACGTCCGGTCCATACCATCAACCCGCGCCTTGGCGACTGCGGTGAAGATGATGTCCTAGACCGTAGCGACGTTGTCGGAGCTGCTCGATGTTGGAGGTCTTCCAGATCGAGAGTACTGGTCTCCAGGTAGCTATCCATGGGTGACTCCATACTAGAAGTTTCGCAGCTGTTTGGAGGTGACATGAATTCCAAAGGTCTTCTCCAGTCAGGCTGCGACTGGAGATGACTTCATATTTTGGTGTACATGAAGGTGATGGGCGAGAGCCAGCTCCTGCTTATAGAGGAACATCTTGGGTATCTTCCGCCCTGGTACTCGTATCCACGTCCTCTGTCTGGGCTGCGAAAACTTTGCTGATATGTGACTCGGTCGAAGTGACTTTTTTTGCCCCCCCCTGTATATGCTATTAGCACATGAAACTCCACCTAGGAAATCTACATGGAACTGCAGAGGAGCATCACCATGCGGCGTGCCCTGGACATTTTATCTGCGCTTTTTAAAATAAAGAGTTACCGAGGCATTGATCACGAATACAACCGTACAGCGATGCTCACGTTTAGTCGCGGGAATCGTCCATAAAGGATAACGGAACATTCAAATTCCATCAGAATTTCGATCTGTTTATTACAACTCCTACACATTTTTCGCCACTACAGCTTTTCATAACGATCGTTTAGTTACAGATAAATAAATCGAAGAAAGACATTCTGGTACACAGTACCTACCTAATACTCGGAAATCTCACACGATAGTGAGCAAACGAAATGTGCCTTCCACCAAAATCCAATGAGGCAGAATGAAAAAGCAAATCATAATGTCAGTAAATAAATAGTCACATCGGAGCGCAATTGAAAAATACCTAGCAAGGAATAAAATCGTGCGAAAAGCTTCTGGTGATATCACGATGTATCACAATGTATTAGTTCTTGAAATCCCACGGATGAAGATTACCATCGAGCTTGAATACTGGACAGTTGAAACAGTTCTTCTGCCACTGAAGAGGGCTTGCTCGGGCCGAAATCCTTGAAATCTACGAAAACGGAGATATTTCTATGCGGTATAGCGTATCTGTGTACATTCCACGATTATCGTATAGGCGGCACCAGGCCTATCACCTTGCTTTTGTCAGTTATACACTCATTTGTGAAACTGCAACGAGGAGAAACGCTCGTGAAGGATATGCTCGGTCCGCCCACAAGACAAGCGTGGGATGTGCGTTGAAGCACTACCTCAACACCAAAAAGATTTCTCAAGTAATGTGAAGACATTGTGAGGCAGTTTCTTGGGTTTTTTTTCTATTGCTGTGCGCTGTACCAGAGACGTTAGCGAGTTTCAGAACTGGAACCAACCTGATTGTCTCTGAGCGGTTGCGGGTCATTGTCGACTAACCACGGAAGTAGTCGACGATAGTCTGTCAGAAATACGATCACAACATCGAATACAATTCTTACTAGCCACAGTAGAACGACGCCACCCGCCAACGTTTCCAGGCGGATCACTGTGTCGATATACTGTAATGAAATCTTTTCATAACACACTTCCAAAAGAAATTTGCCCCGTTTGAAAATAACAACCGGCTTTGATAAAAAGAATAAAAATTTTGAGGTGCAGGTTGCGGTGTTGCAATGAGCCAGAGTAGCAGGTGATTCTTCGTTGGCTGACTCTCGTGTTGTAGCACTTCAATAAATCGACCAAACTTTGGTGCGAATGTCGCGCACGTGATATTTGCAACGGCAGACAAGACAATCGTAATTTGCGCGTCGCCGCGAGCGTCACATCCTGGACTTCACTGGCAGCACCTGCACCATTCGAACCAATTACATCGAACTCACCCCCACTATATCGCAGTCTTTCCTCATCGAGTTTCTGATTTTGTTGTACAAGTATACGTTGTGGAAAATAATGGCGGCTCCAGCGAGTACTAAGTTCGACACGACGACATATAGTCCAAGATGTCCCCCAAAGTAGAGGAACCGGTACAATTTCTTCTTTGTCACTTCGGGTTCGTTACGCATCCTAAAGAACTTCCGCTTATAGTATTGATCTACTGGAAAATTCCACTTACTCATAAGGATAGGCGGCGCAGTTCGGCGACAGGTGGGCATTTTGCACTTTGCTGACTCACTAGTTCAAACCTGTGGACTTCTGTGACAGGGGCTCTTTACAAGAAATGTCAGGCGATCTCTGACTTTGGCTGGTGTCATTTGTGGCTTCAAGAAAGTGCACAGGTCTCCACCCGAAGACTGGACTCGTCGATGGTAAGTAGGGAATGCGCAAAAGGTCCCACCACGTTGCCGAAGTGCGCTAAGAAGGCGCAAAAATCCGCTTACTTTTCACGGAACGCTATCGCTTTCATATGGAATAGAACAATAGCATAGCAAACGAGTACAATAATGGAAGATACAGCAATGACACCAATCGCTACGATCAGCAATGGTTTCTCACAATGTCCATATGTGCAAACTGTAAATAAACCAGTTAACAAATGTGTAGAACAGTGGAGCAATGCAAGTGTACTGCGAATTTCAGCTTCTGCTCTCGAGATCAAACGTCTTACTGTCTTTGCTTTTAGCCTGGATCGATGATGACGGTTGTAAGCGGTGCGAAGGCGGCCGCATAAAGAATAGAAATCAGCCAGATCAAAGCCACACCAGTGCTTACACGACGAATCGTACAGAGCGTAGTGAAGCCGTAAGGACGAGCAACGCTCACCTGAATTTAATTTTTGCATTAGAGAGAATGTTCATCTTGAAGTGAAAATGGACCACTCGCAGTAAAAAAGGAATAATTGCACATTCAGTAATACAGCATTAATGAATAAAGGTGAGGCGTTATTCCGTTCTTGTATCTCTCCTTAATCAGGGCACGCTCTGGGCTCGTTGCGGAGATAGTCCCAGATACGACCCCACCCTCACTTTTCCTCCGGTACGACTCCCTATCACTACCCGCGTAACCTTTTTCACACGAGCATATGGTCCATGTGAAACGAAAAAAATAGAGAATCGGAAAAACTCCCCCAGATAGCGTGCGACCCCCCTCCAGCAACAGAATACGACCCCCAGATATCAGCCTTCAGCGTGCAGCATTCTCAGGACAAGTCCGTAGCCTCTACTGAGAGTCAACTGCATCATGCCATCTATGCAGATCCGCATGGCATCAAACGTCCAAAGGATTCCAGTTTGGGGGTGGGAAAAAGCGGATAAATAAATCTGACAAAGGCACTAGCACGCGTAATAAGGCGACAGTTGTCAACGTTATTGATGGAAGGGCTGCGAATGGGGGTTTGGTCACACCCTTTTCGCAGCCCTTCCGCCAATACGTTGGCAGCAACGCCCCCAGTCATCGTGCCCAACACCTTTGAAAGCATAGTACAGGCTGGCAGTAATCAAGGGGGCTGAGTCCAGCTCTACATGATCCGCATCGCGACGGCGTCCCTCTCTTCTGGGACCAGAGTACAGCATCGTGATGTGTGAATGGTAGTGTAGGTACGACCCCCCCCTCCGAGATAAGATGTCAGTACGACCTCCCCCCCATCTAGAGAGGGTTCGGCGGACTCCTCCCCCTTCCCAACACGCAGTTTTCCCGCATTTTCCGGTCCAGTTGTCCAGTTTTTCACCCTAAAATTTTCGTCGGGGTGGGGGGGCGGGTACATAGGCAAAGTGAAACAGGAAAATTTTTTATCATATATATCAAATTCCTACCCTTTTTCCCGGAACTTATAGAATTTACTGAAAATTTTCTTACATTTTTCCAAGTTGCTGTCGAGCATGGGGGGGGGGTGGTAGGTAGTACACAGGAAACAGGCAAAATCACGCGAAAAGTCAACAGCCGGGAAAAATTTTCCCAACGCAGCAAATTTCTCTCGAACGCACATACGACCCCTCCCCCTCTCTCCAGCGGAAAAGTACGCCCCCTCTATAAGTTTCACACAACGGTGCTGTACCCTGCTGGGGCAACGGAGAGGGAAATGCCAATGAGGAAGACAGACAGTGGCAGGCCTGAAACCTATCCTACGGTGAGCATGGATGTGCCTTGGAAAAAAATGTGATTTTGTGATCCGCGATATATACATATGTGCAGGGGACTACTGAGTTTAACATAAAACAATTTATAAACAATTAATACAACAAAGACATAGACTGGACAGTGAAAGACGTTACCTGTCGCAATGCAATAACGAAGAGATGTGAAAGGCTCAGATGGATGAATCCGAAGGTGGAGACGCATAGGAAGAGTGCAAGTATTGTGTAGGAGGCCGAATGATCATTGGCCATAAACGAAGCGGCACATAACAGCGAACAGGAGAAAACATCAGCCACAGTACGACTCAATACAACGCTGCAATTGCATAGTCGATCAGTTGACATAGGCATTTTCCCAAAATGAAATTGGCAGTAAGTAACTGAGTAGTGCAAAGGCTGTTCATGTTTGGTGTGGCATTTATGCTTACCTACACTCAGTATATTTTTCCTGCACACTTGATTTGATTAGGAGATACGCAGTGCCTCATCTCCTGGTCTCTGGAGGATCCTGGTCGTAGTTGTGCGGCATGAATGCTCCTCAGTAAGGATGAGCGTCTCTTTAGTCACTCGAGGATGCGCGAAAATATGGCCAAAGGTAACTGTAACTGGATGCTATTTCTGGCTGCACTCGTAGGCAAAGCGCGCAGCACGTGACATAGTATTACGCTACCACCGCTGTACCATATGCCAAGCCTAGACTAGCTGACAACGTTTTTATGGTGCACTCATATGGCAGTTGTCAAGGTTCTTGGCGATCTCGGGTATGGGAAAACACTGCGCCATTATTTCCCCCCTCCCTCCCACGAGTGGGGCTAGCCTAACGAGATGAACTTGCTCACGACTGAGGGTTTCCCGCTTGCAGTGGGTGGGCTTTTTGGCAAATGTACTGGGCGGTTGGGACAATACTCGCCTACGCAACTCGTACGCAAAACCTCAACAGTATCCCTCAGAGAAAAAAAACCGCTTGCACGTCCAAAACATACACACGGAAGAAAGGTTTTGTGTTACCAGAGCGATATCTGGGCCTTGCAGCTAGATAGGGCAGTGGCAAGTTTGCTCTAATGAACATCTCGTCCACAGGCTAGGTTTTTCCCTCCTCCAGCATTGCGCACTCGCACGTGGTGAAAGGCACGTGAAGAATAACTCAGAATCTTCGGTCAGAAAAAAAACGGCCGTACTCAGCTCTTGGCCTTATTTTATACTTTCTGGCCATCTCCTTCTTGGTCCCTAGTGCTTCCGTTCAAGCCAAGTGTTCCATCTCCTTCTTGGGTCCCTAGTGCTTCCGTTCAAACCAAGAATCGATAATCGACGTTGGACACATAAACGATTTCGATAGTCACATTTTTTTAAAGTTCGATTTTTCTCACTGCCGCTGCCCACCCGTAAGGGAGCTTCTCAATCCTGCCATCTCACATTGCAACTCTGAAACGGCAGGATCGGGAAGCTGCCCAAAGGATAAGGCAGAAGCATGGGATCACCTTTCGGTTGAAGATTCCGGTCTAAGAGCCATAGAATGTAATAGTGATAGTCTTACTAGTTAAAGGCTTCAGTCCAAGAAAATGTCCAATCTGAAATTTCGTTCAAAGGTTTTGTTCAAACTTATTGCTTATATAAGGAATCAACGTCACTGAGGTTTCAAAATGTCATCATTTTTGTAAGATCACCCCTTTGCTTACAAAGAAACTTTAGAAGGGGATTATCTACCAAGCATTCTATTTCAGTCATGCAAAGCAGATGAACTGAGATCAGTCAGGAGAGATCCGCTCTCAATCCTTCTGTTATCCTTTTTGGATCGGTTCCAGTTACATACTCTATTCAGATCTTCTTGGACCAGATCTTCACTTGCCAGCAGAGTGAGCGACACTTTTGATCCTCTAAGTAAATGCTATATGTATAATGAACGAAAAAATTCGGCACGACAGATCGG